GGTCTAAGTCTCATGGCCCTCTATCAGAATCCAGAGTTTTGGGAAGATTGGAGAAACTTAATTTTTCGCCTGAAAAAAAAACCGTAAGGGGTACCACTGTCGTTTTTTTTTCGGGCCGAATTTTTGAGTTTCGATATCTCAGCTCTGGAAGGGGCTAGAGCCTCCATTTTTGCACTCAGGTCTAAGTCTCATGGCCCTCTATCAGAATCCAGAGTTTTGAGAAGATTGGAGAAACTTAATTTTTCACCTGAAAAAAAAAACGAAAGGGGTACCACTGTCGTTTTTTTTTTCGGGTCAAATTTTTGAGTTTCGATATCTCAGCTCTGGAAGGGGCTAGAGCCTCCATTTTTGCACTCAAGTCTAAGTCTCATGGCCCTCTATCAGAATCCAGAGTTTTGGGAAGATTGGAGAAACTTAATTTTTCGCCTGTACCACTGTCGCTTTTTTTTCGGGCCGAATTTTTGAGTTTCGATATCTCAGCTCTGGAAGGGGCTAGAGCCTCCATTTTTGCACTCAGGTCTAAGTCTCATGGCTCTCTATCAGAATCCAGAGTTTTGAGAAGATTGGAGAAACTTAATTTTTCGCCTGAAAAAAAAAAGCGTAAGGGGTACCACTGTCGTTTTTTTTTCGGGGCCGAATTTTTGAGTTTCGATATTTCAGCTCTGGAAGGGGTTAGAGCCTCCATTTTTGCACTCAGGTCTAAGTCTCATGGCCCTCTATCAGAATCCAGAGTTTCAAGAAGATCAGAGAAACTCAAAATTTCGACCCGCCAAAAAAAAAAAACGAAAGGGGTAACACTGTCGGTTTTTTTGGGGGGGTCGAAATTTTGAGTTTCTCTAATCTTCTTGAAACTCTGGATTCTGATAGAGGGCCATGAGACTTAGACAATTCTGACTTTATATCTCACAATTCTTACTTTATATCTCATAATTCAGACTTAATATCATGCATTTCTGACTTTATATCTCACAATTCTGACTTTATAACACGCAATTGCGAATTTATATCACGCAATTCTGACTTTTTATCTCGAAATTCTGACATTATATCACGCAATTCTGACTTTATCTTGGAATTCTGACTTTATATCTCACAATTCTGACTTTATATCTCGCAATTCTAACTTTATAACTCACAATTCTGACTTTATATCTCACAATTCTTACTTTATATCTCATAATTCAGACTTAATATCATGCATTTCTGACTTTATATCTCATAATTCTGACTTTATAACTCGCAATTGCGACTTTATATCACGCAATTCTGACTTTTTATCTCGCAATTCTGAGAAATAAAGTCAAAATTGCGAGATATAGAATTGTGAGAAAAAAAGTCAGTATTGTGAGATAAAAAGTCACAATTATTTATTTTATTTTTATATTCAGTGGCGGAAACAAGCTTCCATAGGTAGGACATCATTAGACCAATATGACAAACATTTTTTTGCTCCTGAGACTTCCATAGAAAATACTATATGTATTTTTTTTATTATTGATTGTATCAGGGTGAGAAGAAAGTTTCAACCGATATAAAAAAAAGTCTAAAAAAATGTCCTACCACAGCCCTAATCTGCTTAGTTGTGATTGCAGAATACATAACAGTGAAAATACATGCTCAATTTCAGTAAACAAAAACAGACAAAGAAACAGGTTTCTGCTTGAGGAATCATTTATTCACAGGTTTGGCTTGTTGCTGAATGCACCACTGTTCAATGCTACTTGGAAGCAAAGACTCTTCTTCCAGGAAGTCAAGCCTAAATAACATTTGATGGGACAGACAATGGACAAGCGATGGGTGTACATCTATACAAATATACAATGTGTAATCAATGCTTGTGCACTGAATTTTGCATATGAGCTAGATTATTTCCTTTATTATAATGACTTGATCTACAACCTATTCAAAAATAGGTCGATCACAGATTGTTTTCTAGTCTAATTTTGACAAGCAAGTACAGAAGATACATTTTAATTAAAAAGCAAATACATGCTATACCTTAAAGAACTACTCATTTGGACTTTGTGCTTTTCATTTACCCCTTCACGGCGTCACCGGAAGCCTTTACATGCTGGAGGCTTCAATAAGCAGTTTAACAATGTTAAATATCGAGAAGCAACAAACAAAACCAAGACTGGTCTTCACTGAGACTAGTTGCTTGTGGATGGGGTCAACATGTAGGGCTACTGATGGTACAGTAATGGATATTAAAATGATTATCACTCATACTCAGAACACATGCAAGACTGACACACTGTCCTTTACAGTGAATGTCCAAACATATACGACATTTTGAGCCCAGAAGATCAATTTATTAGTGAACTGTATGTGTTTGAGTGTGTCTGTCTGTGTGTAGCCAACTACTATGTTGGGTCCCACTTTATATTAGGCATCTTTAACCTCTATTTACAGTATTTACAACACAATAATATTGTTACTGTATATACTGCACAATTATTAAAGTACTTATTGTGATCATGTTGTATTGACAAACACGTTTGCTGATTTTGAGATGGGAGACTGGTAAGGTAAAAGACAAGTTTTGTTAAGTTTAAGAGTAGAATTAGGGGTAGGATAAACAGTGTTATTGTACAGTAGTTCTCATTACAGAAATGACATGCAGGTATTTTATAATGGTACAATGTAAAAACACATGCGTGTAAACAATAAGTGCATTGTATCAAATGACTAGCCTAAATGTTAGTATGTCTAGTGGTTTAATACACTTGGGTCCTAATATAAAATGGGTCCATGTGTTGGAATTTAAACAGTTATGAATAAACTGCTTTTAAAAATGAACTTAGTTATCACCTTCATTAAGATATCCATCCGCTTTTTAAATTGTTTTACAATCTTAAGGTAAAAAGTGAATAATGATGTACGGTTTTTTCTTGTCTCCACCACACAAAATGCTTCTGATCAATCAGTGGTCGTATTTCAAAAACAACGAACGATACATTCAAATTAAAATTGACCTTTTGCTAGTCAGTTCACTTCTGAACACACACACACACACACACACACAAAAGTTATTTTGACTATGATATTACATAAAAAAGACAAATATGTACAATCTTAGTCCAACCATTAAAATCACTAGTTAAAATCGCTAGCGTACATTTAGAACGTTTTTGTTTCCCATTACATTACAATTTTTAAATTAATCAATTAAACTGTTCTCTTGTCAACCGGTGTGCACTCTGAACACAAATTCCACGAAGTAGCTTTACAATCTATCAATCTATTTATCTTCATGGAGAGTGTTGACAGAACCGAATTTACTGACGAAGATATTAATTTAGCAGCAGCAGTTGGGCTCATATATATATATATATATATATATATATATATGCGTAGATGCCACATTCAACCGCTACAGAAACATGGGTGCGCCCGTCATCTTGGAACAGTCAGCATGTCGTCACTCACAGTAAGAATCAATGATGCCACAACATTGCAGTTTCAGGTATTGAAACCACTGAGATTTAAACACCCGAAGAAATGGGATAAACTTTCACAGGTGAGAATGTGTTGGTTTGTGTTTTAATATGTATTAACTAAACATTACATCTTTTTACTATGGTACTTTTTAAGGTTTACTTTTACTATGCCAACTTTTTAATGTATAGTTAGCTGACAACTTTGTCTTTTTGTATTGTGTTAGTTTAGCAAATTCATCTGTTAAAGTGTATTGCAGATATACAGATTCATGCGTCTAACTACGGTTGCAGAGGCTCAGTCAGCTTTGACTGTTCCAATCTGGGGGACGGTTAGTTCACAAGTGAACTAAAGGGATAGTTCACTTTGAAATTAATTTTTGATATGTTTTAGCTCACCTCAAGGGCATCCAAGATGTAGGTGTCTTTGTTTCCACAGTATTTTCAATTTTGATATTTTTAGGTCAAACCGTTCTTGTCTGTCAGTCATATAATGGAGGTCTATGGGGTCCACCTCAAAGAGCATGCACAGAGAAGTACACAAATCGCAACAAATCTCACACAAACCGCTCGTTTTGTGTCTTAGGCCATCAATGTGTACTTACATTTACGAGTCATTAAATCATGTTTCATTTGAACTTCTCTGTGTATGCTCTTTGTGGTAGTCCCCATATACCTCCATTATATAAGTGACAGACAAGGAATGGTTTGACCTAAAAATATTAAAATTGAAAATACTGCGGAAACAAAGACACCTACATCTTGGATGCCCTTGAGGTAAGCTAAAACATATCAAAAAATTATATCAAAGTGAACTATCCCTTTAAGTCGCTAATGAGGCATCTACGTTCTAGTCATTCAACGTCATACATTGTAAACCAGCACCGATTATTTTAAGTTCAAACAAGCATTTCTACAGCCACATACATCAATAAATCTTCAACTATTCAGGCATTTTACACATTTTATAAAGAACATTCTATAGTCTAACTGACAGACAGAAACCAATATGTTTCTCAAAAATGCTGAAATAAATAGTTATAAAGTTAAAATAAAATGTATAAACCTTAAATATTGAAAATATAAAAAGTTAATACAAAAGTTAAAAGCCCACATACAAGTTTTTTTGCACTGAAAGAGGAAATGCTAAGACATCGGAGACTTTTTAGGGATCAAACAGATGGCGTGCGTGTGTGTGTGTGTGTGTGTGTGTGTGTGTGTGTGTGTGTGTGTGTGTTCACTTGAAACCGAGTGGTAGGTTTGGCTGCATTACTCCCTATCCAACACTAGAGGATGCACAAGAGAGGTGGTTTACTGTACTAGGCAAGATACGAAGGTAGATTGTGACCAACTCATTCTCATCCTATGGCGTCACACAGTGACACTTATGACAATGCGTATACATCCAACGCACATGGCACCCTTTAGCGTCAATATAACACGCTTCGATTATGGGTAGGTTTAGGTCTTGGGTAGGGTTAGGGTTAGACCACTATGAGGTGTCTTCTGGCCTATATATATCTGCGTCTCATATTGACGCTAAAGGGTGCAATGTGCGTTGGATGTATACGCATTGTCAAAAGTGTCACTACGTGACGCCCTAGGATGGGAACGTGCTGTTGTGACAGAGGGGCTGCGTCCAAAATCGCATACTCTCTTGAGTAGGTACTTATGCACCTGCTAAAGAAGTACATTCTATATAGAATTAGTGTAGTATGAATGTAATACTATTTTTTATCATGTGACCAACCATGCGTCAGTTACGTCGCTTCACTGCAATTTACAAAACCTCTCCCGTGGCCTCATGGGATAGTAAGCTGTCCATCATATGCACACTTCGGAATCTCGCCGGAAGTAGGAGGTCATCCGGGTACTTTTTTTTAGCCTATAGTACTTTGAATTCAGACATACTACTCTTGTGACATGCTGTTTTTCGCCTACTATATTAGTAGAGAATGTGATTTCAGATGCAGCCATGGTCTACAAACAAAACCTCATGTAGCACCAGACATGTAGTTACGATGAAGCGAAAACTCTGACAAGGACTTCTCCTTTCCGATGAAAAACCAATGCTAAAAGTAAAAGATTATTTTTACACCTATTCAGGTGTGCTGCTTCCCTCTCCCATCCTCTCCTAGTTAATCACATCGGTTCCACGTAGCAAAACGTTCGATTTCAAAAACTGTCATCCTTTGCTATTCACACTTTTACTAGTCAATTTACCTTTTACTTAAAGGTCATTTTCCATCCATTTCTGCCCAGACTGGGTGTGTGCTTAAAACGGTGATGTGGGAGAGCGGACGGTCTCAGCCGAGCTGGGGGAAATGTCCTCGGACTCTGAGGTGAAGTCTGCCGGAGAGAGGGTCGGGCCGGTCCCGGGGGTGCAGGGGAAGGTGCTCTGGGTGGCTTTCACATCCTGGTGGCGTCTTCGTCTGAAAACCTGCCTTTCCTTATCAAGAGGGGTGGTCTGGGGAACACGAGAGCATGGGAGTGTTATTAACTGCTCAGGAATCAACGGGGGGAGAGTTCGGATAGTGCAGAGATAAACAGGTGTGGACACGACACTTGGTTGTGTGGATTATAATTAAACAGTGACTACGAAAGACGACTTAAATCAAAGTCTTTGAATTAACACTGAACTGTGGTTAAAGTGTAAAAACAAGCAAATATGGTGGTGATAGTGAACTATTTAGATATAGTGCACCAAGCATAGTGTACTCTTTATCTGATTAATAAAAAGGCTCATTTTCTTTCCAGCATTTTTTTCCCTAGAATTATTTGTTTAGCTATGAAGAGTTCAGATGCAAAAGCCTCTAAATGCCATTTGAAATTTTCTTCTATAATGATGATTTTTATCAAACTTGTATATTTAAATTCAGTAATTTCACTTAAATAACAATTAATAGGTAATTATCATTGCCATTTAAGTGAAATTACTGAACTTAAATATACAAGCTTGATAAAAATTATCATTCTAGAAGAAAATTTCAAATGGCACTTAGAGGCTTTTGCATCTGAACTCTTCATATATATATATATATATATATATATATATATATATATATATATATATATATATAGACTACGTACACATACATTACCATAAAAAATGTTGGGGTTGATCTGATTTTTTTTTTAGTAGTAGTAGTCTCTTATGCTCACCAATGCTACATTTATTTGATCAAACATACAGTAGCCTAAATCAGTAATATTGTGGGATATTAAAATAACTCTTTTTATATATTTTAAAACATAATTTATTCCTGTGATGGTAAAGCTGAATTTTCAGCATCATTACTCCATTCTTCAGTGTCAAATTATATTCAAATTATAATATGATGATTTGCTGCTCAAGGAACATTTATTATTCCTAATGTTAAATACTCTTGAGTTTCATGGCAGGATACTGAAATATAATTTTTCTGTAACAATCTGTACTGTCCTTTTTGGTCAATGTAATGCATCTTTGCTGGATATAAGTATTATTTCTTCTTCCCAAACCTTTATATATATATATATATATATATATATATATATACACACACATACTGATTCTTATCTTAGGACAATTTTGATTAACTGTGGTGACTACTATATTGTATATATGTTATTGTTATTATATATTATCATTTTTTTATTATCTGTAAATCTTCGTTTTGTAAAATTGTAACATTAAATTTAATTCAACAAGTATGGCAATAAATAGTTTTTATTGACAATTTTTTTTTAAGGTTTAGCTTTGAACTTTTTTTAACTAATCAAAATTAGTTTTTTTTTTCATTGTGGATTTTACTTTCCACCAACACATGCTTGTGTACTTTCAGTGTGTTCTACATCCAGCACAGGACCGCACATTCAAACTAGTGTTTAACCCATAACCAGCAGTGTCATGCATAAGTGTACACTTCAACTGTACAAGCTTCTTAGACCAGTAACATAGAGCAAAGAAAGGGAAAAGTGAAGCACTGACAAACACAATTCAGCACAGCACCACCAGAAAGCATGAGCTGAGAAGCATGAACGGCATCCCCACTATATGGACTATGGAGACTGCCAGCACGTTGCCATGGAAACACTGATGGTTTGAGCCGCTCTGTGGGCGTACCTTATCCAATACATCCCTGGGTTCGGGTAGCAGTCCAAAGACCCTGAACGCTTGATGGAAAACCCCTCGTCCGGCTGAGCAGGGAGAAATGAGTGGAACTCAATAGATTAGATTTGTATGTCACCGTGTAAAACAGCACAAGCTTTGAGCCATGAAGTGCTGTTCAATAATGGTGTGATGTTTAGAGTTTTACAAAACAGTAGCAGTGAGCAAACCAAGTGTTTAGAATGTTTCACCACTTCTATACAAACACTCAGTTTGGGAAATAAAAACAACTGTATGTGAAGCTAATGAAACGGTAAACATGCAAAGCAATGTGCTAGCAAAGTATGCTAAATGTTCATATATATTTGGGGTCAGTAAGAAACAACAATATTAAAGGAGAACTCCATGCAGCGCAAATGAACCTTTGGTCTAATTACACATTGGTACCTACAGTAGTCGACCTGGCTCTGAAATTTGTTTTCATGATAATCGAATGAAAATGAAGAGTTTTATCTCTAAAAACGGTTTAGCGTATACGCTAGTATATGGGGGCATATAATAAGTAAAGAGAAATTGATTATCATGAAAACAAATCTCAGAGAACGGTTGACTTTTTACCGATATTTTATTAGACCAAAGGTTCATTTTGCGCCAGAGTTCTCCTTTAAGCAGCACAAGTATTTTAAACAGCAATAAGAAATATTTCTTAAGCACCAAATCAGTATACTAGGATGATTTCTGAAGGATCATGTGACACTAAAGACTGGAGTAATGATGCTGAAAATACAGCTTTGACATCACAGGAATGAATTGCATTTTAAAATATATTAAAGCTGCAGTCCGGCATTTATTCTCTTTGTCGCCATCTCTGTTCGAAATGTGCAATTGCAGTCATTTGTGGCGATCAGAATATCAGTTTTGTTTAAACTTTTTTGTTTGTTCAAAATGAACAAAATTTAAATAATGAGTCATTAATTCAATCCTTCTTCTAAAACGTGTTGTCTTACCCTGGTTCACTGTGGTAAGCATATTATTAGTGTTTATATTTTAGACCTTTACATTTTTACCTTTAAATTTACATAAGGATTTAGTCATTTTATGCAATTGTCCGAAAAGAAAAGAAAAAAAACTATTTGGGCTAATTTGATCCAGTCCCTGACAACAGTGCTGACAGTCGTTATATAAGCAGAAAGCAGAGTCAGAGGAGGAGATGTCACAGCCATAAGAAAGCAGAAGGATGAAGTCTGCCAGGAGAGAAGAGGAATGAGAGAAGAACAGCTGATGGATGAGTCAGCGAAAAGCTATAAGATAAGAGCACAACCTCCAGAACACTTTAAAACCTCAAACTATATTTAAGAATAATGTTCCAAAAGACAAAGGCTGTTGAATCTCAAAACAATGCTAATTGCATAAGTTGATTTTTCACATCTCTTGCAGAAAAGCTCACATACCTGAACAAGAGAAAAATACAATCCTTTAAAGGGATTGTTGAAAATTATCCCATAATTTACTCACTCTCAAGCCATCAGGTGTATATGAGTTTCTTCTTTCCGGCCAGAGGTCACTCTTCCGTCGAAACTCAACTCGCGTACGACTGTTGCCGAAAGCCAGTGAATATAGTTTATAAAGTTATAAAAATGGATATTGTCTTACAAAAACGTATCGCTTTGCTTCAGAAGGCATTTATTAAGCCTCTGGAGCCATATGCATTACTTTTATGATGGATGGATGCACTTTAAATTGTGCTTCAAAAACTCCCCCTTGAATCTACTCACTCCCACTATAAAGCTTGTAAGAGTCCAGGATATGATTGTATTTGGCTGATAGAAGCAACTTATATACACATAGGATGGCTTGAGAGTGAATAAATTATGTGATAATATACATTTTTGGGTGAACTAACCCTGCCATGCCAATAATAGTCCACTAAAATATAATGGCTGCCTATAAAGTGATCATCTGTGCACCAATGATTGATTTGAGAATATTGGCTTTAATTCAAGTGGATGATATAAACTGTCATAAAGAATATAAACATTTAAACATAATAGCTACAGTATATAGATGATTCTTACTGCTATGACAGTGACTCCTGCAGTGGTGCTGTTGGCTTTGGGCCCCGTGTTGAAATGTTTCTTAATCTTGCCGGCCACAGACAACTGGTGCTGATTCTCACACATTCTGTCATCCTGAGAAAGAATAGGAAAATACCTCCATATATCATTTACCTTCCAATAGTACATATCCATAAATCTGTAATTTAAAAAAAAAAAAAGTCTTACATTAACCCAGGGATGGTCTAACACCTGTAGAGCTGTGTATCTCTGGTCAACGTCCACCTGTAGCATGCAGGTGATAAGTGTCTGTAGAAAAAGCAAGTAAGAAAGAGAGATAGTGAGGTCAATTTTTTTTTCCAGAACTTTCAAACTGTTTTGTTACACCAACCTTTGCAGAGTCAGATACATTGTCCCAGTATGGAAGAGGAAAATCCAGCTGTCCCATCAGAATGTGCTCAAAAAGAGCCTCCTGATTATCTGTGCTCCTGGACAGATATGCAAATAGTTTATGAATATTCATAAATATTTATTGTGCTGTTACAATAAGAACTGAAGGCACATCTCACACTATCTATTCTTGCATATGTGCATGTCAAAATAGAATGATAGAAAACGACCACTAGAGGGAGTAAGACATCACAATTTAACTTTTTTTTTATTCAAGCAAAATATATTTTGTACAAATACATGTATTAAACATTATGCATACAATCCAAAAAAAAAAAAAAATATATATATATATAAAAATGGAAAAGAAAAGGGGCAAGGGGATAATTAAATAAATATCGGAATAAAGGTGCATTTAGGTATACAAATATCAAATCAATATTTTGTAAAGCTCACAGATTTTTTAAGTCTTGACAGCTTAATTATTGTATTAGAGTCTTATTATTATTTTGAATAATAGTCAAAATAATTAATATTCTTAATATTCTTATAATTGTCTCTGATACTGTTTACACAGCCTTACTTTAGTCAAAAAACTCACAAAATTGGACAATTAAACTGCGTTCTACTTGTATAAAATTTGAGCTGAAAAATTCTCTAAATTGAACCTATGCTTAAAAGTCACCAAGAAACGAAAATAGACAATTGTTATTTTTTTTATGAAATATTGCAGCATTAATTATAAATGGTTTAAATGTGCAAATCAGTCTCAAACTTTTATGAACTTCCCCTCCCATTTGCATTGCTTCTCCTCTGATTACGCGTTTATTGGCGTAAGGGCGGGACAACCTGTCACTCAGATGAGATCGACCTATAGCAAGCCACAACAATCCAATCAAGTCCCGCCCTAGTCTATTCCCGCCGCAAGTCTATCACAACTTCTGTTTAATGCTGACTTTAACTTACAATGATGCTGTACTTACTCGCGGAAAGGAGGGAAGCCACAAAGCAGAATGTATGTTATGACTCCTGCCGCCCAGATATCTACCTTCAAGCCATACCTGTAACATGGAGAGAAAAACACAATATGACTTTCATACTGACCATATTTGAATAACACTCCCAATGCTAATGAAGACGTGACTGACCCAGTCTCTGCGACAATCTCTGGAGCTACATAGGTCGGGGTGCCACATATAGTGTAAAGTGGACCGTCCACAACTGTTGCCAAGCCAAAATCCCCCAGTTTCAGAGATTTGCTCCCATCTTGGTGCTCATAGACCTGAAGGACATATAAACATAAACAAATCTACATCAACCTACTTGATATTTAGGTTCTTTTTAAAAAATACAATTATAATTAAAATATGAAATATAATTTTAAATGAAAGTAAATAAAATATATAATACAATTAAAGCTGCAGTGTGTAGTTTTTCCTCTTAGTCGCCATCTCTGTTTGAAATCTGCAATTGCAGTAATTCATGGAATTATCAACTTTACGTGGGTTGTACTTCGACACGGCACAGCGCGGATGAATCCAATATTTTGAGGATAATGTGCGGCTGTCAATACTGCCATTAATAAGTTTAATTATCCACCAGTACCACTGGAATTAGAAACATTACTACAAGTTTACCGCTTTGAATCGAGCTACGGGAACTCAGAACTATGTACTTGCTCAAAAATTTATTTTGGATAATTTTTTACTCAAAACAGTTACGGACTGTAGCTTTAAATAATATAATTTGCTTCATTAAAATATAATGCATTATAAATCAAATAAATACAATTTTATATTTTAGCACCTGTTGAAAGGGGAAGCTCAAATGCTTTGTCTGATTTGTTTGTCTGAACAGTTTGATGGTGTAGAACTGGTTAAAAAAAGTGAATCTCTGCGGAGTCAATTCAGAGCATGCATTAACCTTATTGGTCACAACTTGTGTATATGTGATAGGCACAATAGCCTTTGTACATGAGTTTCAACACAGTGTTGTGTCTGATAAGACGGGTAAAATAGTCTCAGTATTCAGTTGATCTTGTTTTAAAGCTTGTGTAAGAAGGGTTATTTAAGGTTTTTGTACTAGAGAGGAGGGGGAAAAACATTTAAGTTCTGACATTTATTCCAAAGTGCATTTGTGAAAGTAACACTGAGATCCTGTCATTTATAGTGACAATATTCTCTGGTCAATACATTAACACCCACCAGGAGATTCTCAGGTTTGATGTCACGGTGAACAATGTTAAGGCAGTGCAGATATTTGATAGCGCTGGACAGGTTATACAGCATCCCGCTGGCGTCCCGCTCTGTGTATTTGTTGGAGGAGGTGATGGCATCAAAGAGGTCGCCACCCTGTTCAGGCACACACAACTTCACAGATTATACAGGAACAATATCTGAGCAGTCAAATTTAATGCATCCTACAAAACTTTACTGAAAAGTAGTCAGTTTTATATTCTAAGAAGTCAAACAAAAAATAAAAATAGAATATAAACTTTGTTATATATATATATATATATATATATAAAGATGTCTCTTATGCTGTCCAAGGTTGCATTTTCCATTTATTTGATCAAAATATAGTAAAAACATTAATATTATGAAGTATAATTAAAATTTAAAATATACATTTTCTATTGTGATATATTTAAAAAAAAATATTTATTCCTTTGATGGCAAAGCTGAATATTTTTAATATTATTTGGTGCTTACAAATAATTTCTTATCAATGTTAAATCATTTGCTGCGTAATATTTTTATGTATTTTTATCTATGATTATTTGATGAACAACAAAGCATTTGAAAGAGAATCATTTATTTGAAATGTAATTTTTTTTAACATTATACTTTTATCTACTGTTACATTTGATTGGTTTAATGCATCCTTGCTTAATAAAAGTTACTATTAAATAAAACATTTTAACTTAGGCGAAAACTAACAGGACTCCAGACTTTTATTTTTTAACTAGGAGAACTGTAGCCCCTTACTGAACATTTTAGGAGCACAAGCAGAAAATGTACAGTCACACCTTAAATCTAAATACTTGAAAAGTACTTGAAAAGTGCTTCGAAAGGTTGTATAAACCCTGAAATGAACAATGTAAATACATTTGACTATGTCGGTCACAATACCATGATTACAGTTAGTGTTACTGCATTAAATCCATGGTGAATGTTGGTGATTTGTGGACTGAAAAGCCTTCTATAACTTCGTTCATGGCAAAATGTTTCTCCTGGTTTTCACATCAGCACTGTTTGATCTGATATGGTTTATAACAGAGAATTTTGCGCAGAGTTTGAATGCTTCTCACTAGATCTTGCAGAGATGTTATAAATTCTGCTGTGAATTCAAATACTTTCACAATGCATCTCCCAGTTCTGTGTAATAACAGTGTCGTGTGACAGTGTCGTGTGATCTAAGCAAACAAGTAGCTCGGTTTCATTCCACTTTCATTACATTTACATTGTTTGGTGTTTCTAATATTATATGCAACAAAAATGGCAGCTCTTATCAGTTGGACAATGTGGTGGTCACGCCTGTGCGACATCTAACAAAATTTGTTCGCACCGACAGGAGAAAAAAAAAATTGCTCATAACCTGGAGCTTTGATTTTTATAATGTGAATGTCATGTATCACCTTGACCAGCTCCATGACCAGGTAGAGCTCACTGTATGTGTCCATTTCTTCAATCAGCAGAACAATGTTCGGATGCTTAACTCTCCGAAGAATAGACACCTCGTTCTGGATCATGTGTTCCTGCGAGCCACAGACAAGCCATGCAATGTGATATAGTGATCTTGCATTCTTAAGTGCAAAGTGCACACACATATTTATGCATTTGACTGAACAGGATTCAGAGATATTAAAGTCTCACTTTTCCCCTGCATTTGCTCTTGTTAATGATCTTCAGAGCGTAGTCTCGGCCTGTGGATCTCTCCATACACTCTCGGACCACGGCGAAGTTCCCGTCGCCAATCATTCGTCCCACTTTGTACCTCTCGGCTATGGAAGCAGGAACCTGAGGACAATCCTCCATCAGCTCAGCTAGAAGGGTAACAAGATGTGGGATGTAACATTCTGATGAAGATGATAAAACAATAATTACAGACTTTTGTCAAAGTTTCCCAGGTTCCTCACCTTCACTGCCCGGCCCATCGCCTTCATCCATGGAGCTGCACACCTTGGTAGAGGCCAGAGAGAGAGAGGAGCCACTGTGCTGAGAGCCCTACCAGAGAGAGGCAGTCATTTTACAATGTATTTTGGACCTAAAGAATTATTAGGAACACCTTACTAATACTGTGTTTGACCCCCTTTCACCTTCAGAACTGCCTTAATTCTACGTGGCATTGATTCAACAAGGTGCTGAAAGCATTCTTTAGAAATGTTGGCCCATATTGATAGGATAGCATCTTGCAGTTGATGGAGATTTGTGGGATGCACATCCAGGACATGAAGCTCCTGTTCCACCACATCCCAAAGATGCTCTATTGGGTTGAGATCTGGTGACTGTGGGGCCATTTTAGTACAGTGAACTCATTGTCATGTTCAAGAAACCAATTTGAAATGATTCAAGCTTTGTGACATGGTGCATTATCCTGCTGGAAGTAGCCATCAGAGGATGGGTACATGGTGGCCATAAAGGGATGGACATGGTCAGAAACTAAGCTCAGGTAGGCCGTGGCATTTAAACAATGCCCAATTAGCACTAAGGGGCCTAAAGTGTGCCAAGAAAACATCCCCCACACCATTACACCTCCACCAGCCTGCACAGTGGTAACAAGGCATGATGGATCCATGTTCTCATTCTGTTTATGCCAAATTCTGACTCTACCATCTGAATGTCTCAACAAAAATCGAGACTCATCAGACTCATTAGAGAATATATATATATATATATATATACACAGTATATTTACAATGCTAACAGCACGTTAAAAGTGCAATTTCACTTGTTTAATCAACAGAATGCAAACAAATACATATAACAGAACATCATCAGTTATTAGAACAGGGTAATGTTGTCAAAATGTTGTTGTAAATTAGGTCAATCACAGAAAGAGTGGAAATGGAGCAGGCACACAGCCAGGTCAAGAGTCTGGTCTGCTGTTGCTAGGAAACATTTTGAGTGAACGTGGAATAATTTAATATAGATGTGTTCAGTTGCAATTGAGTTTGATTCAGTACTATGTTGGCAAATTAAAGCACCTGAAATATAATCAGAGTCAAACAGAAATATGAAAGTGCTTGATGGTTTTGCTTGATGCAGTGAAAGACACTACACATATGAACAAGGCAGTTCCACATAGACCAACATCATATAAATAAATGGTATTTTATTAAAAGTCTTTTTTAGCACATTACAGCAAATGCAGCAGATGTGAAAGGTCTTTAAAGTGACAGTTCTCACCCTTCGTCTCCTCAGACTGGCTGGACTGGTGGGAGATGGACTGGGAGATTTGCCTGACCGTGGGGTCGATAGCTGACTTCCTGCTGTTCCATTAGCTGAAATTCAGAGGAACAACTTGGTAAATGTAAAAGATTTTATTAGGAGTGTCCTAGTCCTATTTCACCCCAAAATGACAATATATTTTGCACAAAGAAATATATATATAAAAAAAAAACATTAATTGATGCATTAATTATTTCAGTCTTATATGACTTTTGGTGATTCTATGGGTCATCTCTCGCCATAATATGCAAGATGATTTTCTCAGGTTGCCATGTCTTTCTCCTACCTCCCCTTTACATGTCTCCAATTCACTTATAATGCGTGTATATATAGTATATGTGTGTGACACTGGACCACAAAACCAGTCATATCACAATTTTGAAATTGAGATTTATACATCATTTGAAAGCTGAATAAATAGGTATGGTTTGTTAGGAGATGATAATATTTGGCCGAGATACGAAAAACTGAGAAAAATTGCCTTTAAAGTTGTTCATTTATGTTTACGATTGTGTTGCATTCACTTACAAAAAATAATGTTTTATATATTTAAGGTAGCAAATTTACAAAATATCTTCATGGATCATGATCTACTTAATATCCTAATGATTTTTTGGCATAAAAGAAAAATCAACCCATGTACCCATTTAATGTATTGTTGGCTATTGCCACAAATATACCCGTGCTACTTGTGACTGCCTTTGTTATCCATATATATATATATATATATATATATATATATATATTTATAACATATATATAAAACAGTGAGTATATCTTCCATAAAATTATAGAAGGCTTTTCAGTCCCCAAATAACCAACATTCACCATGGTTTTATTAATGCATATATTTTTTTGGTATTCTTATTTGCATAATATAATTCAATATATTTTCCATATATTATATTTCCTTTTATATTTTATATTATATTATATTTCCTTTTATATTTTATATTTCCTTTTATAGATATATTTCTAGTAAAGGTGTTGATTGTTGTTTTTATTTATTTATTTTTAGCTCAAATTGCACATTGCACTGTGCTTTACTTGTTTTAATATATTGAACAGGCTTGTATAAATATAGGCACATAATGCAAAATGCAACCAGTCAGTAAAGGTAAGAGTGCTATAAGAAAATGATTGAAATATACACACAGGCGTAAAGGCTACTTCAAGCTATCTCACACAACTTACACAAGACTGCTTAATATTTTAAAACAAGTCATGCATGGTATTTTAATTGCAATATGAAATCCAAGTATTGATCTCTACAACACCACAACAAACAGTTGCTTCAATATTAGAAGTATACACATGTCAGGCGCTGCTTCGAAATTAAGACGAAAACAAGCCTCGCAGCCATAATATTAACCCTTCATTTAGATACAATGACAAACAAAACAAAAATTATCGCCTACTTCAATTCCTCTTCATCACCTCAAAACAAGAAAAACAAATGAAAACCAAAATATCTTTCCAAAAGAAATCATTTTTATGAATTTGCCGCACAACACGGTGTCCTACCTGCTAAAAAGTGCGGCAGGCGGCCAGAGCAAACTGCGATTCCTCCTGCGCTCATAGTGACTGTGAGGATGAATGAGTGTGTGAGAGGAGGAGAGGATGCATGTAGTGTGTTCCTGCTGGCTGCGCACACCTTACGTCATAAACAGCCACAGAGGGAGGAGTTTATCTCATAAACATGCCATATCGTAGTTGCACTGCTGTCTGTGTGGGTGACTATAAAGATCTCAGAAAAGATCTCATGGCAAAACACTGTGGAGATGTTTCTGAACGGCGTAAGTGCAGCCGAGTGGATGACGTGGTGTTTCGAGTGGATATCTGAAGTATCACCACGGAGTGTGTGAATACAAATTAAGCTGTTTGAAGCCCTGATTATGCTATGATTCAGATGTTCGGCCACTAATGTGATTCCTTTCAAAGCTTCCCAGAGCACATCAAGTAACCAATAAAGCAATCTCAGTCTCAAATATCAATGTTACTCTATGTTTGTGTCACTGTGATCCGCATATTAATAGTGCTCCCTCGCCATCTGTGATACACTATCACAGGCGGACATAATTCAGCATGTGGAGAGTGAGAATGCATCATCATAATGTTATATTTGGAATGTAAAACAGATTTGAAGGACTATCAGATCAGCCTTCATTTATGCGTGTGATTACCGAACAACAAATTTGGGTGAGTAAATGCAGCTAGAGTGGGGAAAATTAGTCAGAGAACTTCACTTTCAAACTAGATCAGACTTCATATATAGTTTCTGATGGGTGGATGTTGGTGATTAGAGGAAAATTTTATTTTATATGAACTATTTTAAACTAAAAGTTTGTGGTGGGTAATGTTTTTTAGTGTTTTGGAAAGAGGTCTCTTTTGCTCACCAAAGCTGCATTTATTTAATCAAAAAAGCAGTAAAAACAGTAATATTTTGAAATAATATTTTCTATTTTAAATATATTTTGAAATGTTATGTATTTCTGTGATGTTAAAGCTGAACTTTCAGCATCATTACTCCAGTCTTCAGTGTCACATGATCCTTCAGAAATCATTTTAATATACTGATTTGGCGCTCAAGAAACATTTATATTATTATTAATGTTTAACATAGTTTTGCTCCATAATATTTTTGTGGAAACCATAATATTTTTTTTTTTTTACAGAATTCTATAACGTTCAAAGTTTAAAAGAACAGCATTTATTTGAAAAAAATGCTAAATAAAAAAAAAATAAAATAAATCGTACCTCAAACTTTTGAACAATAGTTTTTATCTATATGCAATAAAACACAATTATTGTTATGATCCAGCCAATTTCACATGTATAAAATCAGGTTCTTGTCTCACGCCATATTTTGTTCTTATTTAACATAGAATACTATTTTATTTCATGATATAAATATGTTGTATATAACAATAAATATTCAACTTGGCCATTTGACTTCCACCAAGTCAAATGGCTGGCAAATATCATTTATTTAATGTAAATTGTCGATTTTAAATTTAAAAAGGCACAAAAACATGTTAAATAAAGTACAATCAGTAAAAAAATCCATATATTTAAGCATAGCATAGTCTTAAACTACTACTACATAAGTGATGGCTTATGATTTTGGTGGAGAATTTTTTATTTTATGGCAAATGTTTATACTCAAATCTTAACATGAATTGTGGGTTTCCTAATAAACAGATCTTTCAGACAGCTAAATCAAGCCAAAATGAAACAAGCACCTGCAATGTTCTTGGGGTTCAAAATCATTTTAGCATATATTTTCTATAAAAACGTATTAAAAAATCATAAATTGTACATTTCTTCCCACACTAGCCCAAAAGGGAATGACTAACCCTATAGCATATCAAATTGCATCAAACTTCAAGATTTAAACTTGATGTTTACAGTGTTCAGCATTTTAATATCCATTAATTCACTTCATTGTTTTTGCTTAGTCCACTATTCTTTTCACTATATTCTATTGTCTTGAAATAAATACAAAAGGCACCAACAATGTATTGCCAGCCAACACATTTTCTAATTTAAATATCCATTAAAATATCTCATTTTCTTCCATTTCATTTACTGATTTAAGCATCACAACACCACACCAAACATCCCTTTTATCATTTAGCAACTTTTTTCCTCTTATCCCCAAGGTTGGTGCTGTTTGAATGAGCTTTCAGATCAATAAAAAACAATAAATCTAGGTTTGTTTGTCCAGACTGCATAGCAGATCTCTGTTCCTTGAGACCTTCTGCCAGATTGTGGATGAGTTATATTTGAGATAAGGTACCTCTGTTCTCCCAAAACAACATTAGCAATATCTCTCGTAAACAATTTGGCCCGACCACCCAGTTAAAATGCTCATCTACGTTATGTTCAGACTGTTTGAACTATTTCAGAGAATGAGGTTGATATACTCATACTCGTACCGCCTCATTACAAAACAACGTGCGTGCGAGTCCATTCTAAGGGCTCATTTTGTACCTTGCCGGAATACTATATTTGAAGAACAGGCTCGAGCTGAAGCACAATAATTGTTCTGTTTTTGTTGTTGTTTTTGACATGTCTCTATACTGCTTACAAAGTGGCGGATGAATGCCTGGTGTTTACCTGGAACATCAACAACAGGAAGTGATGACTCATGATCTCCTGCAGGAAAAATAATGAAACTTGGATGTTCAGGACAACTTTTCATGGATTTGTTGTTTAGTTAGGAACACATACACACAATCCTGTTTTAAACTGAAAACACACTAATGGACAAATGCACAAAAATAGGCTGTCTAATTGCATGTAACCGGAGATGGTTGTAAAACGTTTGAGCATCAGTACCTCAGTGGTTGTTTGTGCTAGATATCTCAAAATTTCATATATGGTTGCTTGCCACATTTGGCTACTGCAAATATAACTCACTTGGATATGTACAACACAATCACAGGTAATGTGAAAAATACAAAGAGTTCTGTTGTTACTATGGGTGAGTTGTCACTTGCAGGGGATAGATGTACTGAGAGGTAATTTGCTGAGATAACACCCACACTATGCAATTTTTTGCATAAACATCATTGAAGAACAAAGAAAAACTAACGTAAACAATTTAAACTGACAAAGAACTTTTTTTTTTTTTTTTACTTTAAAATGTAGTGCAAAACAATTGCCACGTTTGTTTGTGTGGGTGACTGGGTGTGGGTGTAAGTGTACTGTTTTCCTGTCATATAAGGGTTCAGTCGCTGGCTATGTTTCCATGATCCACATATTTCTATGTGAAGTATGAGATATTGCATAAAAAAAAAAGCACTTGATGAAAGCATCAACCATAAATTTTATGAATGTGCACAAAAACCTTTGCACATTTACACATCAGAATTTATCATATGGGTTGGTTGTATCATTTTTAATAAACTGCCCCAAACAGCCATAACATAGCTAAATGTTTTGGCATGTTGAAGTTATAGATAAAGCATCAAATTAAACTAGAGAAAAAGCTACTTCAGGTCATGAAAATAATTGTATCTACAATTCAATGATTGTCTTTCTTACCTGTGAAAATCGATTTTTTCGAACATAAAATCTACACATTTACTAACAGTAACATGCAATTTCTTCTGTGAGCTCAAAAAGAAGATGGTAGTGTATGATAAAGATGATATTACCACAGCTCTTTTCTGACCTGTCAAACTGACAGTGTTACATCTAACCCCGTGTTATAATACTCCCCGGTCTCCCCCCACACAAAGATCAGAAATGTGTCAACATTGCACACGTATAACGTAACACAGCAAAAGGGTGGCAATGTGTCATAAACAGAGAAGCATCCAGAACCTTGCAGAAAAAAATGTCTTAAACTAGTCTAAGATCAGGTCTCCTAGCATGACCAAACCAGTTAAGACGATCTACTTTGCTGGTTTCAAAATAGTTTGGGCACATTCAGTTATCCAGATTGGGAGATCAAATAGCCAACAGATAAACTAGTTAAACTCCAATGAGAATATAATATAATATAATATAATATAATATAATATAATATAATATAATATAATATAATATAATATAATATAATATAATATAATATAATATAATATAATATAATATAATATAAAATTAAAAATAGAACAGAATAGAACAGAAAAAATATAACAAATATAAATATAAATAAAACAAAAAAAATAGACTAGCATCTTTATTTTCTATTCAAGAAATGTTCTGGTTTTGGAGTTTGCTTGAGCAGAGCAAATTAAATTATTTTTTTTTTCTTGACAGACTACAGACTACAACACAAAATGCAGATAGAATAGAATAGAATAGAATAGAATAGAATAGAATAGAATAGAATAGAATAGAATAGAATAGAATATTTTCTGGCTGTTAGTGTTGGAGTCTGCTTGAGCAGTGCAAAACCAGTTATACGCTGGGTGAGTTCAAATTGGTTCAGTATTTTAAGCCTCCATTAGGCTGTGTAGGATGGAATTCAATTCTAATCATTCACTTACGTAAAAGTTAGTTTTTTGACATTACCAAAACTCTACAGTTACTCTACAGAGCTCCAGCCAATCAGATGGAGAGACTATGAGTAAATGACGAGTGTCAGGCAAATTAGTTGGCTAATTTGGGACATTACTCCTCAAGCCTCTTCTGAGAATGCTGAGAGTGATTTGGAGATAATTAAGGCTATAAATCACACTCATCCATGTTTAAAATGTACAACTTTGAATTCTGAGACAGCAATGAATAAACTGACAAGCACCCAGTTTAGATTTCATGAATGTCAGCCTACTACACTCAACCTACAGTTTACAGCTAAATGCTTGTGTATTGTATAAGCATGATGGGAATATTAAACAACAGTCTGTTCTGAAGAGATGTACCTGAGCAGCTGGAACCAGGGGACTTGCTCCTTCTCGAGCGTCCACCGCTGCGGGGAGAGCAGCGGCCCTGCATGGGAGAAATACGGCCGTACGACTGCGATTTCATCACCCTGCACTCTGAGAAAGGGAGCAAAAGAGAAACACATCTCAATTCAGTCTACACTCAGATCCTCCTGTCTCTGTAACACACACCGAAGAGAGTCTCATCTGTGTGGACGACCCGATGCCACTGCCAATCAATCAACCGTAACCTCTGTCGGGCTCCTGGAGGTCTGATCAGAGGAGATCTGACAGGCTGGGTTGCTCTCAGACCAGATCAATATGTATATCAATAGGATTTTGAAATAGCTCATAGTCTGATGCCTGTTTCTATATTGACAACATCAATGCCAATTAATTTAGTTTTAAAAGTTTTTAATATAGTAACTGTGTTATAATAATAATTAATTACAAATGTCAGTAAATTGTACTGCTAAATAAAAATTCCTATCTTAAAATATTATTTTGTTTAAGAAGTGGGATTTTAATGGTAAAGCTTTCAAATATATGCAAAACAACAACAATGAGACAGCAGGAAACAAAGGCTACAGGCAGCTAATTAAAAGATTATTATCTAATGTTATGAATTCGACTTTCAAATATTAAAATGTTGGAAAATATGTGCATTAGTCAAAACAGCTTTTTTAAATTTAAACCTAATTGCTAACCACTAAAACAGAATTTGAAGCTACTTACTTATTTTGACAATCACAAATGTAACTGTGGTAAGTGGTACAGTTGTTGTTGGTCTTAGGAAAACAGTCACATTTTAAAAAGGGAGGGATACATTATCCATTAACTTACCACTCTCATCCAAAAGGAAGTCATCCTGGTAGCGGAACTTCTCTGGGCCGCAGGCAATAAATATATCATCCTCACCAAAGAAGTCCTGAAGGCATGATATCTATGAACACAACACAGGCACACTTATTATTCACCTAAACATCAATGCATTTGAAAGAACATTTCTGTTCAAAAGTTTGTGGGGTCGTAAGATTTTTTTTAAAGTCTCTTTTGTTCACCAAAGCTGCATTTATTTGATCAAAATACAGTTAAAACAATAATATTGTGTGAAATATTATTACAATTTAAAATAACTGTTTTCTGTTTTAATATCTTTTAAAATGTAATTTATTCCTGTGATGGCAAACCTGTATTTTCAGCATCATTAGTAGTCTTCAGTGTCACATGATCCTTCAGAAATCATTATAATAGGCTGATTTGTTGATCAGGAAACATTTATTATTATTATCAATGTTGAAAATAGTTGTGACGCTCAATCATTTTATGGAAACTGCAATACCTTTTTTTTTTATAGATTTTTTAGACAATATAAACGATTTTACTGCCACTTTTGATCAATTTAATGTGTTATTGCTTTATAAAAGCATTGACGTATATTATTTTTTTTTAAAACCTTTTGACCATATTTATTTTCTGAGATCATTATATAAATATAAACTTAAGCAATTCCCAATATAACATTCATTATAATAACATAATTGATATATATATATATGCTGCATGTAAATAGATGTGTTTTTAAATTACATATAAAATAAATCGCATAAATATGAAGCTAAATAAATGAATTGGCTAAAATAGGCTAAGTAAACTAATGCATTCATATTAAGTCAATAATTCAAGGCTCAGAATGTTAGGGTCATTTTGATCAGTGTTTTAAACCGTGTTTGAAATTCTTAAATTGTAAAGGTCAGTGATCAGTGATTCATACAGCTGCATGAATGAGAAGGCGGTTTAGCATCTCACTTTTATGTATCATTTACACATACCATTGAGAACATGTTGCTGTAGCAACTGTGACGTCATAACCAAGAGCAGAGTAATGACTCAGTCAGGTGTCAAAAACTGACCTAATGCTCAAGCTGAGCTCAAAAAGAATGAATCATCCGATATTCAGTGATATTACAGCAGTATAAATGGCATCACTGATGAGCCTAATGTATACTGTAAGTGATCTTTTGCGTGCAAGCAGAGGGTTAGTTGAACATAATCTTTTGCACATTTAGCCTACTGTAAATGTCAAAAATAAAAGTTACTCATGGGGGTAGTTTGCATTTTAGAATAAAATAAAAAGAGCAATGTTGTGCATAAATTACAGTTAGAAAGAGTTTAATTTGCTTTAAATCTGACATGTAGGCTTAATACCTTTCTGTAAGCCAAGGAGTGTGAGTCCAGCTCACCCTCTCTGGATGTAATTTGGGTGGAGCTAGAAATTCCAACTACACCCCAACCCTACCCATAATAACTATCCCTCCAACCATTGGATCAACAGAGGTGGAACCAAATACTGAAGGTCAAGCTCAACCGATGATGTCCAGACAGAGGGTGCTGGATGTCATTTGGCTCTGCAGTGAGCATAAACTAACCTCATCTATTTGATGACATGCGTGTATTGTCAACAGAGGCTCACAATGCGGAGCAAGGCAAAAGCAATTGCAGAAAGTCATGTCTATAATGCCTTAATGCCTTCAGACCCTGCAACCATTGCAATGGATCATTAGGGCTCCCTATAGTGATCCACGTCGACATTACGTCTCCCGCCCTTCAGGGAACGAGGGTTACAGTAACCGAGACGTTTTTTGAGACTTCATCCTATCATCATACCTTTTTCTACTTATTGTATTGCTCATTGTTGCAGTATGTTAAAAAAAAATTCAATGCTAGTTCTCACAGTGTTTAAACTTACTCTAATTAATAAAATATGACGATTTTTTGTTGTTGCTGTTGCTTCAGCCCTGTTGTCCAGTGTAGTGGACATGAAAACAAAAGCTGATAATAAATGCACAAATCATGTTTTTTAGACTAATTTATACATTGAAGAAGTTTACATTATACATTTTTGATTAGTGTAAAACATTCAGGTCTGTAGTTAAAAAGAACTGGGCGATATGACGACACATGTTGCTGATATAAATTATCAAATGTTTGATATTAACAAGACAAGACCAAAAAACTTCCATTGACTAATTTAAACTGCACACAAAACCAAATGATAACTTTAAACATGCCATTTGCATTCCAGTGATCATTTCTCCTGACCACCACAAGATGGCACGAGCACTTAATTTAGCAGATGCCACGAAGCAAGGAGTCAGGACTACAGAACTAATTCTTATAAGCAATACTTGTTCTTCCTCTGCCCAAGGTGTCAGCATTTCAACTCATCTCTAAGGCTACTGTGGGCACCTGCCATTTCTCAGCACCAAAATATCATACAGTAGTAACAAAATGGGCTATTTGAGGGCACAGTGCAGTATGGCACACTTCAAAAACCTGATGGCAAACACCACTCACATTTAGGTCAGAAAAATCAAGAACAGTCTAGGTTACTAGGAACATTCAAACAGACAATGTTATTCACCTAATATGGCATCAGATTACATTCAATATATACAGATCAGATAAGCCAGTCTGGAAAACTAGCCTCCCTACATTTTGCTTTGATTGCAGTGTAAATCTTTTGGCTTTAAGTCAGTCTGTTGGCAGGAACCGCTTGTACCAGGCAGGAGCTGTGGAACCTCAAAAACATACACTAATCTGATGAATCATGTTTTTAATCCATATCTGCCATCTGAAGTGATGACTAAAACTGCACAAGTAAAGCACTTTTCAAGTGAAAAGATGCCAAGATATGATGTACACCTACTCCATTCATTTGGATAAGACTCTGAACCTCTTAAAATATAGAAAAAAATGTCTTTCAGACTTCAATGTGGATGCTGGTTGACTTTATAGCCTACTAAAACAAAGCTAGTAGGTAGCATCAAGTCAATGTACCAGTGTTCAGAAGGATATAACTGGTCAGGAATTACAGCAAGCACCATCTATGAGGATGTATCATCAATAAATCAGGGTGATACAGAGACATGACCTTCTCTGTGGTTCTTTAATTGTGATTAGCAGCTGTATGCGAGAGTTAATGAGCACGTCCTGCAGGTTTATGTCCTGTTTGACAGGAAGCTTTTCACTGGGACTTCCTCAATGCATTACTAGGAGCAGCTCATCTGCAAAGCCATTACTGACACTTATCTAAAGAGAATCTAATGCAGAAATGCATAGGGGATAAAGCCTTTGAGAGGTTAGGCCCAACTATCAAACCAACATGTTCTCTTTACAAAAAACAGAAAACCCAAATGGCAAACATGCATCCATAGGTCACAGTATCCACAAAACGCTCTTCTTATTGTTCACATTTCACAAGGTTATTTGTCTCTTAATACATCTGGGTGGTACGAACGGACACACACGATTAATTCACTATTTCCAAGGATACTGTTAAAGGTGCATTTTCTGTAGCTTAAAACCTTAAACTTAAGGGTGGCCCTCACTAAAATATTCAAAATGTGAGACCACAAACATGATGAAAAAAAAACAAAACAAAAAAACAATCATGATGATAAAAAAAAATCATTGATTTAACAGTTTTGTTCCTATAGAACACATGCCGCAATGTGACCAAGACAGCACAATACACACTAACTGTGTGAACACGGGAAATCTCACAAAATCTTTAGAGTAAACAAACATGGCGGACAATGGGCAAAAAGAAATGTAGGGGTTGGGTTTTTCCAAAAAGGAAAAAGGTTTGAATAAAGTAGTATTGCTTACATCAGCTCGCTTTCTGATTGGGTTTGATTTCGGTGCGATAAATCAATAAATCAAAGACATGGTAATAATAGTACAAACTAAGCCTTTGTCAATAATTTATAGTGTTTCGCACTGTGATGTCCCAAATTTCCATTACACTGCTATCAAAGTTTTAGATCACCTGTGTGGGGGTTGCCTCCCATTTCAGCAGAAGGATTTTTCTCAAGGAAACACATTAGCATATTTGCTAGAAATAGTCTGTCTGGGTTCTGAGGTCCTGTGGGGGAGGAACAGCGCTGAATCTGTCATTGGAAGAGTAAGGGAAATCCGGGTCAGATTGAAGAATTGCACAATGCACAGATAGACTAGATGCTGAGATGAAAACTGGATTAAATGAAATGTAATCTACCATCATGTTATCAGAGTGAAACTACATTTCATTATGCTTTGGTTGAAAGAAAGTATGTGTAAATTAATTGGGAGAATGGATACAGTTGAAACTATCATCACTGCTGTATTTAAAGGATAATAGCACTACCTTAAAGGTTGTATCAGTGATTTCAAGCCCAAACAAAAATGATCACATTCATCTAATTTTCCCTAACGATCCGCTAGTTGCCCGCCCCATAAGCATGCTGTCAAAAAACGTGTCTCTGTAGGCAGCCTAGGCGCTGAGATCTGCACACAAAAACAAATGGGAACAACCACCACGCAAAATCAAAATAAATAGTGTTCTAACTAGAGCCCGACCGATAAAGGATTTTGAAGGCCGATACCGATACAAATATTTTTGGGTTTTAAAATCCGATATTCCGATATATCGGCCGATATTTTTTTTTATTAAATATTGTTGGATTTCACACACATGTAAAAGAAAAGCTAACTTTTCTGCACAAGATACGTTTGATACTTTTTCTCTATGTCTAAATTTTCACTCCTCGCAAGTATAACTTACATTTTACAATGCAGAGACTGTAACTAGAGTTATGCTAGTTATAAATACAGTAATCATTACTTTATTTAGGCAGAAAAAGTTCATTGTGGTTTCCAAGCTCATTAATGTTAACGTTAGCGGTCTTCCACGGATGATAGTGGCATTAGCCTGCTTTGTGGTTATAGTCTATGATGAGCCAGAATTTAGCAATAGAAAACATCATACTGCAAGTTGTAAAACATACATTTTCAATAAAACAGGCCAAGGAGAGATGATTGAAGCGTGTTTCGTCCGTTTTTATTGTATTTTTTAAATATTCATTTATCGGCCATTATAACTGCCGATACCGATATTATGGA